GTCGGCCTTGACGCAGAGGCGCCGCTCCGCGCGGCATGAGGGGCCGGCCGCCGCCGCCGCCGCCGGGAGAGCCGTGTGTGCGAGAGCGGCGGGCTGTGTGAGAGCTCGGCTGCACTTCCCTCCGGAGCCGCGGCGGGCGGAGCAGGCGAGTGTGCGCGGGGAAGCGCACCGCGGGCGCGGGCGGCGCTGGGGGGCTCGGGGGCGGCCGCCTCCTCGGGACCCCTGGGTGTTCCAGGGCCGTCCCCAACTGCTGGGGTCGGCCTCGAGGTGGGACGGTGGAGCGCTGAGTAGACATGGTCCACAGTTTCAGTGAGCATATGGTGCCTTTCCAAGTGGACCCCTGGGGCCACCACTTAGGAAACTGCTAGATCTCGTGGCCTTCAGGTGTGTGTGCCCGTGTAGGAATAAATACCGGTATAACTCTGCGTGTTTCACTGACAGGTCCCAGGGACCCCGGCCGGGGAGACTCCGAGCGCTCGGCAACATGGCTTCCCCGCCCCACCAGCAGCTGCTGCAGCACCACAGCACCGAGGTGAGTTGTGACTCCAGCGGAGACAGCAACAGCGTGAGGGTCAAAATCAACCCCAAGCAGCTGTCCTCCAACAGCCACCCCAAACACTGCAAGTACAGCATCTCCTCCAGCTGTAGCAGCTCCGGAGACTCAGCGGGGGTCCCCCGGAGAGTGGGCCCCGGAGGCCGCCTGCGCAGGCAGAAGAAGCTGCCCCAGCTGTTCGAGAGGGCCTCCAGCCGGTGGTGGGACCCCAAGTTCGACTCTGTGAACCTGGAGGAGGCTTGCATGGAGCGCTGCTTCCCGCAGACCCAGCGCCGCTTCCGGTATGCGCTCTTCTACATTGGTTTTGCCTGCCTTCTCTGGAGCATCTATTTTGGGGTCCACATGAGATCCAAACTGATTGTCATGGTAGCCCCTGCTCTGTGCTTCCTCGTGGTGTGTGTGGGCTTTTTTCTCTTTACCTTCACCAAGCTGTATGCCAGGCATTACGTGTGGACCTCGCTGCTTCTCACCCTCCTGGTGTTCGCCCTGACCCTGGCTGCCCAGTTTCAGGTTTTGACGCCTCTCTCAGGACGTGTTGACAGCTCCAATCATACTCTCGCAGCCAAGCCCACAGACACTTGCTTATCTCAAGTGGGGAGCTTTTCCATGTGCATCGAAGTGCTCTTTTTGCTTTACACCATCATGCACTTACCTTTGTACTTGAGCTTGTTTTTGGGAGTAGCCTATTCTGTTCTTTTTGAGACCTTTGGCTATTATTTCCGAGATGAATACTGTTTCCCCTCACCTGGAGCAGGGGCCCTGCACTGGGAGCTGCTGAGCCGAGCCCTGCTCCACGTCTGCATTCACGCCATCGGGATCCACCTATTCATCATGTCCCAGGTGAGATCCAGGAGCACCTTCCTCAAGGTGGGACAGTCAATTATGCACGGAAAGGATCTGGAAGTGGAAAAAGCCCTGAAAGAGAGGATGATTCATTCTGTGATGCCGAGAATCATAGCTGATGACTTGATGAAACAGGGGGATGAGGAGAGCGAGAATTCTGTCAAAAGACATGCCACCTCCAGCCCTAAGAACAGGAAGAAAAAGTCTTCCATACAGAAAGCCCCTATTGCATTCCGCCCATTTAAGATGCAGCAGATCGAAGAAGTCAGTATTTTATTTGCAGATATCGTGGGCTTCACCAAGATGAGTGCCAACAAGTCTGCTCACGCCCTGGTGGGTCTCCTCAATGATCTGTTTGGTCGCTTTGACCAGTTGTGCGAAGAGACCAAGTGTGAGAAAATCAGCACCCTGGGAGACTGCTACTATTGTGTGGCAGGGTGCCCCGAGCCCCGGGCTGACCATGCCTACTGCTGCATCGAGATGGGCTTGGGCATGATAAGAGCCATCGAGCAGTTCTGCCAGGAGAAGAAGGAGATGGTGAACATGCGCGTCGGGGTTCACACAGGGACTGTCTTGTGTGGCATTTTGGGCATGAGGAGGTTTAAATTCGACGTGTGGTCCAATGATGTGAACTTGGCCAATCTCATGGAGCAGCTGGGAGTGGCTGGCAAGGTTCACATTTCTGAGGCCACCGCAAAATACCTAGATGATCGGTACGAAATGGAAGATGGGAGAGTTACTGAACGCCTTGGCCAGAGTGTTGTTGCTGACCAGTTGAAAGGTATGTGCCTTTCTTTGCCCTGTCATCTCCCTCCCCAGTCCTGTGTGTGTGGAAAAAAAAAGCAACAATCTCTTTCCAGTGTCGGTATCTGGAGGCAGATCAGTTGCCTCGGGACACCTTACCATGGGGGCGTCTCAGGGCCAGTGGGACTTTTCCTCCAGTGAGTCAGATATCACATATCTGTTCACACTATGACAGCGCTGACCTACATGAGACCTTTAGAAGGAAGGAGAACTTTGAAAATGCATGTCCTGCCAGTAGGCTGTTAATGTTTTTGAAATTCTGGGGGCCGGTCTGATGAATGGAAGGGGATCGGAGCCCTTCAGCAGTCAAAACTTGAAAGCACTTTAAGAAATTGCCTTTGCGTTTCATTTGGTTGCCCTTAAGTCCCAACAAAACGGTTCTCTACGCCTTTTTCTGAAAATGTGAAGAATAAAACCTTTCTCCTCTCTAGGCCTCACTTTGCTGGGATAAGGAAGTCGGCTCAGCCTTGCAGGACTCTTGAGAATTAGGTGGAATTAGATACCCCTCAGTGCACACTGCCTTTGCCTAGGTCTCTTTTTAAAAAATGTCTGCATTTTCACCTTTCAACTTTTATTTAATGATGCTTTCTTGTCATAGTATTTGTCTTACCACGTAGCGTTTAGTGGAACTTCTCAAGCCACCAGAGTGACTGGTGCATTTGAAAGTGAGAAATGCACCCAGAGCAGTGTTTAGACGCACCCCCCTACCTCACCCCCTCAGCCCCTCTGGTCCCTTAAGCTCCTTACTGCCATTCTTGATGTTTTCACTGGGCTTCTTCTTTTATGTTATTTTTCTTGTTTTCATGTAGGACAAAAATCTCTGAGGTTTGGGAAGTGATGTTTAAGTAAGTGGGACCAAAAGTGAAGATTCTAAATAGCTACCCTGCTCCCCCTTTTACACAGTCCTTATGTTTTTCTAAAATCTTCTGGATTGAGGGGAACATCTATTTTGGAAGTACATAGAGAAAATAACATTGATTTTTAAAAGCCTAAATTTGTAAAGTTGTGTTGTGTTTTGTGGTGCCCACACGTTGTGTAATTACACAGTGAAAAGCCCCAGAAAAGGGAATCCTCAGAAGGAGAAGTCACAGCTTAAATCAGAGATGGGAGACTTAAAATGTGTGAATCCAAGTCGGTAAGTGCCTGAGTTTGAGGCCTGAGTAGGTTTCAGCCTTGACATAACCTTGTGTGCTCGGTTGTTTTCTTTCTCTGCTGTGACTGGAGTTCCCCGTGTCTTTTACTTATTTGTTATCTGGCAAAGGTGCTTTATCCTTCTCCTGATTTTTCTTTATTCCATTAATTTTGTTAGTAGTTGAAGAATTTATGGACGTAGTAGAAAAGTATTTTTGCCTGATAATTCCCTCTACTCAGAAAGCTTTGAGTGCTACACTGATGAGGTCAGAAGCTGCACTTTGCAGTTCACTTGAGAGATTGTCTTTGCTGTAGGAGGGTGGCTCCTGCTCTTAGTCTGAAGGTGCCACTGGAGTGAGGTGCGGATGTAAGCCTTGCTTGAGATTCTGGCGTCTTTAGGATCCTGAGCATTGCAGGCTCTGTCCTCAGGGACTGTGGGACAGATTGCAGAGAATGGAGCTGTGCTGTATACATTAAATTAAGTATGACAATGATAGCAATTTTGTAAGTGGTACTTTGAACAGTGTGTTACTTGAATTCCAAAAATAAAAACAGATGTAATCATTAAGTATGTCTGAAAGTCGCCAAGTCTTTGACTCTTTGGCCATACCCATTTTTGTTAATTTATGGGTAAAATTTTAGCCATTTTATTTTCAATTTATAGGTCAAGGATCTCAAAGACACTGACCAAAAAAATGCTAGAATGGGTTCATTGACTTTTTTTTTTTACCTCAAATAGTGTAAATTTGGTAAATTAACTTTTTCTTTAAATTTGTGTATTCTGTATATTTATGAAGGAGAAGTTTTAGTACTGGATGGGAGGTAGGGAAAGATAGCAGACTTAGCTTAGCCATGATTTTTTTATATGGTAGTCTCTCCTTTAACTGTTTCCCTGAGACCATGGTTTTTGCTTTATTCAGCTCTTTTGAAAACCTTTGTGGACAGGACTCCAGTAATTGAGGATGTCTCCACAACTTCCTGACCCTTTTTGAAACTGCACAGTTCAATTCTCTTGACATTGTACAAATCTGCTAAAGTGAGATGATAGCTTAGTTTTTGGAAGACCTTTTTGGTACAGGGGGTTACAGTTATGTTCAAGATTTTTTTGAGCCTGCCTTTGGGTTTGTGGCAGATATCTTCTCTATACAAGGTTGAGTGTTAGCCTTTACCTTTCATCCCCTTTTGTGATAATAGGGTTAAAAATACCTAGTAGAGGACTCTGTAGAAATGAACATGGGGATTCCAGAACGAGCCCGGCAGTGTGAAAGGAAGCTCCTCCTCTGTAATTTATCTGAACAGGCTTTGTGGAAGGGTGGACTTTCATTATTTCTGCACAGTCACTCACTCCTTGAAAATCTGTTCTGTGCTCTTACGGTGAGCCTGACACTGGATGCGCAGGTAGAGTCATGACAGTTCCTGACCTTGGTGAGCTCACACTTATAAACATCTGAGGGTATGTAGAGAGTCGGGAGCACTTCAGAGAGTGCGAGTACTTGAGGTGGACCTTGAGATCCAGCTGTGGCTCTCCGGGTAGATAAAAGAAGAACATTGGGAGCAGTGGGAATAGCCAGGGCAAAAGCTTGGGGTTGTGTGCCTTGGTGGGTTGGGCAGTTGTAAGTAGTTCATTGGGACAAGGAAGGCTGTGGGTGACATGGGAAGGAGTTTGGATTCGATGCTGTAGGCAATGGGGAGCCACTGATAGGCTTTAAGCAGGAGGCTTAGGTGATCTGATTTGCAGTTTTAGAAAGCTTACTCTTTCAGTTCTAGGGAATGTAGGTTGGAAGGGCATGAGACTGGAGATTAGAGGCTGTCTCAGTAAATCCCAGGCAGGGGTCATGGTGGCCTGAACTAAGGTAACAGTGAGTGGCAATGGAGATGATGGGACAGATATGGAGATGAGGACAGATATGGAGATGAGGGACAGATGTGGAGATGATGGGACAGCTGTGGAGATGAGGGACAGATATGGAGATGATGGGACAGCT